GGAAGGGAAGGGAAGGGAAGGGAAGGGAAGGGAAGGGAAGGGAAGGGAAGGGAAGGGTTCAATGGATTGTATAAACCAGATTGCTTCTGGTTGCAATTCAAGGTGCTGGTTATCACCGATAAAGGCCTGGCTATTTAAGGGACTGCCTATCTCTTGATAGTGTCTGCCCCTCCAGTGATATCAGGCAGAGTGGATTCGCCCTGGGTCTCTTTGATTAAGCAGTGCCATTTATTGGGATCCAGGAAGCAACTTTCCTTGTTGGGGCACCTGCCCTCTGGAATACCATCCTCCAAGAGATCCATATGGCTCCTCAGGATGATATTCCAACAGTCTTTGAAGACTTGGGTGTTCTCCCAGGCCTGGGAATAGCATGGGCATTGAACCCGTCTGGAGGTGGTGGTGTTGTTGTATATTGTATGCATGTGGTTCTTCTTTGCTTGGTTTTATGGTTCCTCATTATTTTTTAACTGTAAGCTGCCCAGTGTTGTTTAGAGTTGGACAGCCTCTTTAACAATGAATTATTTAATCATCAAGCTGGCCAGGCTGGACCCTGAATGGCATGAACACAGCCAAAGCAGGACTGTATTAAAACCTGAGGAGAGGGAGGAAGGGAGGCTGAGCAGAGAGCCCTCTCCTCCTTACCTTGTCAGCAGGAGTGAGTTTTGTCCACGGCTTGTCTGCTCTCCTGTCATAGTCATGGGCATCTGTTACCTCCACATATTCATTAAACCTCAGGATCTTTCTGGCCTGCAGTTCAGCCACAGTAGGCCTTTGGCTAAGCTAAAAGGCAGAGAGAGAAGGTCTATGTAATAAAATCGTCGCTTGATCCTCTGCTAGGCAAGTCAAAGTGAGTCCTAACAAGGCCCTGATATCTGTGCAACGTCACCCTTCCTACTGTGACAGGAGACCCCTGGGCACGGCACTGGGGCAGCGACTCAGAAAGGCAGAAATGCTTGTGTGCAACTGTCCTCTGCAAACTCTTACGATAACAGTTTTGCAAGACCAAGTTGCAAAGACTTAACTTGAAAGTCATGAGTATGCCACAGCCCATCATCCTCACATGGTAGTGACTAGCTAGTACTAGTGCACATAGCAGTGCTGCAATAATAAGGCAAGAGGGTCACTTACCTCCATGTGCTTCCACCTCCTTCTGACCTTAACAGTCTCAAGTGTTAGACTTTCAAAATAAGCCTTTGCTAAACCTTTCTCGGTCTTCCTCAAGCCAGCAGCCTTCAGATGTATTGGGACTACAGGCTGGCTGGGAATTCTGGAAGCGGCAGTCCCCATGCTTCTGGAGGGTGCCGGTTTGAGGAAAGCTGAGATATATTTAGCAAAGCCTCATTTCAGAGTTTTGGAAGTCTAACACTTGAGATGGTTAAGGCCAGAAAGACAGGGAAAGAAACAGAGAAACTTTGGGGAATGCACTTTATATGCCCGGTCCAAGATCCCATTTGGGGCTCACGCTTAATTGCATTCCCATCTTTGCAAAGAATTCAAAACAGGTGTTGGGTTAAATCCCTCTCAATCTTGGCAGATTGAAGATGTGTGGACTTCAACTCCCAGAATTTCCCCAGCCAGCATGCTGGCTGGGG